GCATCGACTAAACTGTCCATGAAGATGAACTGTCTGAAGATCGTCGATGTAGTTGGTAAAGTCACATCGCACCGCTGTCCCATCATCTTTGTGCTACGACAAGATGCCTCTACTATTACCAGGTATCTAACCGTACCATCTCGCCCATGCATCCGGTCAGATCGAGCACTATCATACAAAAGAACTCGATCGGATCGATCCCCTCTAGTGGGGGCATCGACAATGTCATCACTCACGAGGCAACGATGGTTCATCATCCTACCACGGATATTTTTTGTCATTGGACTTCCGTACATGCGATTGTGCCCTCCTTCCGACATTGAACTTACAACACTCACCCATGTCATTCTGAAATCTGGCGAGTTATGGGATCCCAAGTCCTCGACTTCAGAAACAGTGAACACGACGACTAGTACAATCGTATCAAACTAGAAGATGATGCACCACCCAAATATGCTTTCGATTCACAAGGAAAATACAAACACCGTGAACCGCATAATGCACCCACAGTTGAAGCAAGCACTCCGCCAACAGACGAGACGAGGATCCACTGCGCATCAACCTTGCTACCTTTCTCGAGGCCGACAAGATTGTCTGCAACCACAACCAACCGTGCACCCTTGCAGAATCAGTCTATTCTGAATTTGATACTGATACCATACCGTCTAAAGACCACATCATTATCCAAGCCACCGAGTCCACTACTAAGCCACCAGACTACCGTAAGTACAGTCCATTCTTTTTCCACGTTCCCGTTGAAAAGATTCGTCGTACGTTTAAACGGACTACCCAAAATGCATCCAATATCCAAGACGGACATCACATCAAGCAAAACATTAAATCACCTTTCCCTGCTCATATTGTATGGCGACGCAATGATCCAGTTGCTACGGATACTTTCTTTGCGGATACACCCGTCATTTGCACCGGGGGTCAAATGATGGAACAAATCTTCATTGGGCGTAAATCGCTTGTCTTCGATGTATTCGGTATGTCTTCTACTGCGGATTTTGTCAATACTCTTGAGGATGTCATACGATCAAGGGGAGCAATGGACAAGCTTATCCAGGATGGACACTCAGCACAAAATTCCGCGCGAGTAAAAGAGATACTTCGTGCGCTATGAATTGACGATTGGAAATCTGAACCCCACTAACAACATCAAAACTTCGCAGAACACCAGATGGAAACATCTTAAATGCAACCATAACTGGTTCATGAACTGGCGGACAGTTGATGCCGAAGCCTGGATACTGTGCATGCAATGGATAGGTGATGTAATGAACCATACATCAGAGAAATCGATCGGATGGAGACCACCTCTTGAGGTTCTCACCGGACAAACAGTGGATATCAGCATTCTGCACGTATTCCTTAAAAAAGAACTAGATACAAGTCTGGGATGTTGTTTTTGTTCCACGATACAAAGAACAAGGGTAACATAAATGCCCAGCCCGGAGACGACAAGTCTTCGGAGAGTCGTGGACGCTTCGTTGGATTTGCCTGGAACGTTTGACATAAACTCACCTTCAAGATTCTCACCGATGATACCAAACAGTTCATATGTCGGTCCAGAGTAAGACTCGCAAAGGAAGGATCAACAACCTTAAACTTGATGTCGATTCAGGAGCAATCCCAGAGCGCATATACGTCAGGTCTAAAAGAGATGAAGAAGGCGATGATGCTGTACTGCCCACTATCGACATTAACCAGAGCCCTTTTGACTTTCCAGACGATGACGAAGATGGGGAGATAGGGGAGACCTCTCCAGAAGAGCCTACTCAAATGGACGAACCACCTCTCAGGGAAATGCCACAAGTAGAAACAGTCAACGACGATGATCCTATAAGTCAGGTGGGCCTCGTGGTTGACAACCATTGCGAACCCGCATCAGAAGGCACCTGAGAGGATATCTAGCGTGGAGGACCATATGTTCTCTCCACAAACGACAAAATATGAAGCGACGAAAATCCACCGAATCAGGACTACCCCCTGAACAGATGTTAGAAAGAACAGTTCTCATGCCGCCCGCAGAAAATGGAACCAGAGTAAGAGACAAGAACCTTGAAAAAGAAGTTCTCAAATACTACAAGGAGAAGGTTCAACTACATCCCGACATGATCAATTTCAGATGCAGAGTCAACGATGAGTACGAGGAGATCGTAGCCTACACCGATATCGTGGACTACATTGAGCAAGACCAAACTTGGGATGGCACATGGAAGTTCCGTAAGATCTTGGATCATCAAAGTCCCATCATATCATCTTGACAAAAGAAACGATACAAGGTTCGCGGTAACACGTCCAAGTTGAATGGGAAACTGGGGAGATAACTTGGGAGCTTCTTACCACCAAAGACAAGTTGGGAGTACATGAGTCTGATGCAGTCACGGTCGCCATCTATGCTGAAGAACACGGTCTGATAGACACAGTTGGATGGAAAATACCAGGTCTCAAGAAGATCGCAAATACTCAAAAGCGACTCGTATGAGCGGCTAACCAAGCAAAGCTCAACTCCTTCAGGACCAAGCCCGTGTTCATGTATGGATTCCAAGTTCCGCGCTACCATGATCAAGCCATGGGACTAGACGCGCGAAATGGATATACCAAGTGGAGAGACCAGATGACCGAACTATAACATGATTGTTGAGTACGAGACCTTCATAACAAAGGAAAGGACATAACACTGGACCAGATTGGAGAAATCCGAGTGCACATGTGACGCAGTCAAGCACGATCGCCGACACAAGCACGATTGTCGCTGAAACATTCCTATACACAGTAGACTCCTCTATTCTAGTTGTTTCGTTCGTGTGATTCGTTCCTCACTTCCTCGCGAAATAAATGATTGCGAGTATTGGCAACAGACATGGAAAGCCTATTGGAATCATTTACGAAAGAGAGAAATCAAAAGGTTTACGTTGTCTGCGGGCCTGCATGTTTCGGAGATCGAGAAGGAGTCAGCCCCATCCATCACGCCTTGCCCTATACGGATTCAATCTTCTGGATTACGATAGGCAGAACGATTTGCAGAAGTTCTCCGTTCGAATGGATTCTTTCCTTCGAAAAGCCGAATCAGACTTTGGATGAGAGACAAAGGGTACTACTACGAATACATCGACGTGTATCGTAGACGACCTCCTTATTCTCAGAAAAGACGCATCACAATATCATCGCGACATTGGAAAGGGGAGCACAAGTTCAAAGTAAAGGAAACCGGTGCCATAGCTTCCATCTATGGATGTGATTTCTTCCGTATGAGAACGGATTACTGAGTTACGCACCTTGAAATAATTGAGAAGGTATTCAGCAACTATCCAACGAGATATTCGGAAACATGCCCAAAAAGCCTCATCTCCACTCATCAAAGGAGACCAATCACCAGAGACCTGACACAACAGACCTACTCGATATGGAACACAAAAGATATACAATCCTCTCATCGGTAGTCACAAGGTGCAATCCAAATTGGAAGGTTCGATATCTCCACGGCACCATGACGATGTACAGATTTCGGAGCAGCACCAAGAATGGGTAACTTAGAACGAGTCAAGAGAATCTGCGGGTACTTTCCAAGATGCGACACGGCATCATCCGCATCCGAAGGAGGAACCGGATTACTCAGCGATTCCTAAGAAATAGTACGAATGGGAATACTCATGCTACCATGGTGCCAAAGAAGTTTCACCGCACAACGCACCGGTTCCTCTAGGCAAACGGGTCATTCTCACACATATGTGGATGCGAACCTCTATCACGATCTCATCAGTGGACGGTCAGTTACGGAGTCCTACACCTAGCGAACAAGACTCCCATCGACTGGTTCAGCAAGCTACAGTCAAAGTCGAGACCGACAACGTTCGGATCGAATTGTTGCACCCGTACCGCCACTGAGAATCATTGACCTACGAAGCACTTCAGGTACTAGGAGTACTGGCGACACGCGACCATGATGTTCGGAGACAAGAGACGGAGTCAACACCGCCTCATGCCACACTCAAGATTCTCAAAAGACACAATAGCGTTTCCTACCACGTACTAGGGAAGCTGTTGCTGCAAGTATCTTGAGATTTCATCATATCCCTGATCTACAACCCTGCAATATCCTCAGCAAGCACTGGGACTATACATCGGTATGCCTATGCTGAATGCACTACTGTTTTGGTCAGGAGATACCAAGGATTGCGGTAAGAAACACTCAGAGTCGACAGTCGCCACTGAGGGGAGTGAAAGCGTTACAGTTCCTCCCACGACTCAGAGTATCCGTGAGTAGATTGAGTCATGCTTTATGAGTCAACACGATGGAACAGAGAACGCTGGCAAGTACACGTTCTCAACGAAACCAAAGGACACGGTAAACTGGAGTATTCGACAGGAGTAAAGCATCCTGCCAACGAACCGTTTCCCGCAGATACCACGTTGACTTCCATATGAATCAAGATCAACTACCACAATGCATTGATCTAACACGCTACGAACTAGCTTTACTGATCGCATCAATCAAAGCTCACAACACAGATTATGAATTACTAAGAAGCGAACTTTGCATTTACCTTGCACTCGTCTTGAATAGTTGCAGCTGATATCGTTGGGTGGTAGCTACCTCTACAAGATCCCTCTATTCAAGTAGTATTTCCTCACGTTAGCACTTCATCAGCTGCATCCCAGTCCATCATTCTATGCTGCATCACTTGAGCAATCCTTGGGACGAAATGATGAATCCATTTTGAAACAGTGTTCTTACTCATGACATGAAAGTATCGTCCAAGAATGCCATGAGTTGGAGCGATACATCCACAAGAACCGGATGGTCATCATGAGATCTTTTGGCCTTGATTTCTTCTCAAGAAGGTTCAGTGTCTGAAGGTCAAACTACAGATCTGCAACTGTTTTTGGAGTGACACCAAACTCTTCTTTGAAAACATCAACCTTGTGTTTCTCCCGACAATGCTGGAGCCGCTCAACTCAACACCCACAAAGCTCAATTCCAACGATAAGAATTCATCAGCATCCATTGATTTGCTCATGGAACCGTCATTGTTTTGATTGTGTGCCATTGTCACTCTATTGATTATTTGCAGGAATGATATGCATAAACCCGATGCGTTGTACGGAAAAGACAGGGAGGCATACATGAATATCAGCATTGATACGTGGGAATGGGTTCCCCACAGAGTATTGGAGGAGAGATGGAATGATCAACATCCTGACGATAAAGTTATAATCGGCGAGGATGACTATGACGAAGACGGGTGGTTTGTCGAATGGCATGGCAAGAAGAAAACGGATCACGGGAAATGGTTTAGAGGGAGGACAGTCGAAAATCAAATCAGAGAAATGTAGACCGAACAGGAAAAGGATGTCATCAACAACGCTAGACGTTTGAGTCAATTGAGAGTGAAGTATTCTCAGTTGAAAATGCTGCATGGGGCTTTAACCTTATGCGACCACCGAAAGAAACATGGGGTGTAGAGGAAGAGGTTGTCTCTTCCTCCAATGAACCAGTTGTCCTTACCGCGGAAGAAATGTCGATGGTTCAAACGTTTAGGAAAGTCAACAAAAACAGGAGAATCATTTTACTGAAGAACCACAAGAGTGCAGCTGGTTTGTTGAAACGGAAAAGAGAGCATCAAAGTGAGGAGGTGGCTTTCGATTCCAATAGTAACAGATTTAGGTAGACAATGATGTTGAAGTTTGTCTATCGTCAAGGGGGTTGTCATGGCTGGGTTGTCATGGCTATCATCAAGGGGGTTGTCATGGCCGGGTTGTCATGGCTATCATCAAGGGGGGGTTGTCATGGCTGGGTTGTCATGGCTATCATCAAGGCTGGGGCTCATTCGCCGCTTGGGCTGTTGGCTCTACCGGTACCAGATAGTTTGGTACGCTCATGCAATTGCCGCGAAGGCTACAGTTTGGGTCGGCCTGCCCTTGGAAGGTTAGGGTTAAAACAACATGGGGGCAGAGGTGTTTGCGATGGGGCAGAGGTGTTTTGGGCAGGCTGGGACCCCTGCCCCACAAAGTCCTATAGTAAAACAGTACTTTGGGGCAGGGGGCAGAGGTCTGTGTAATATTGAGCTGCGCTTACAGACCTCTTATACGCACACTTGCTCGTGACAAGCACGGGGCGAGTCTCTCAACGGTAAATGAGATACAAACTGCCACTAAGGCTGGTGCACTGGAGGGTATGAATGTCGATGTCTCCCATTTTTTGCGATAGAACGTCTGTTCAGGACCAAGAGGGAGCATCTGTTAACAATTTATATTAGGACCAAGAGGCTATGTGGTGATAAAGACAAGCTATCAAACGACGGTACGGTCAAGTTAACCCAGCGGGAACTATCGAAACTGAGGAGTTTGCTTGGAATGTACATGGACGAGATTAACGACAAGTTACTTGAACTGAAACGAAAAGGAGAGATCAAAGGCTACTAATGCAATTTCAAGGATACAAGGAGTGGGATCCCCCGATCAGAACTACTGGAAATAGCCGGAGAGAGGAACCTCGGAGTCACAAGCCTTGCATAAAGGCTACCAAATACGTCGAAAAAACGAAGAGAAGTCGGAAATTTAAGGAGTTCTTATCCTCTAAACCGATGGATACTAAGTATATGGCAAAGAAGGGGGATCATTGAAGTCGATGAGAGGAAGTTAACAGGTTAACAGGCTTGAAAGGTCTTAGATTTAGCTATTGTTGTCAAAGAATTTGCGCTTATCCTCCGGTGTGTCGTCAGGGAGCTTGAGGGATTGCTCCAGTTCCTTCTAACCTGGCTGCTTCTCCAATTTTGTTATCGTGATGTTTGCCTTGGCATCAAAGCCCAGGGCTTCCCGGATTCGTTCTTCTGACGCTTTCGTCATCAGTGAAAGGAAGCTCTTGGTGTGTGTTGAGGGAAAAGAATCGGAGTGTAGCAGCACAAGTCGCACAGCTCGCTTGATAAGGCTGAACTTGTTTCGGAGTTTTTCTCTGAATTGAATCCAATTCTTCTTTCCAGTAGGGGCTTTGCAAATCCAGAGAGTAACCTATGTGATAGTTGTCAACAAAAAAGATGACACCCTTCGAGTGGGAGACAACCGGCTTGGGTGCTTCTCCCACCAGATTTTTCTCGAGTCGTCGAAGAGATCTTTGCATGTCGAACAGTCTATCCACTATGCAGGCGCAGGTGATCTTACTCTCAACATTGAAGACCTGTTGCATATCGTTGAGCATATGCCTCTGTCTCTGGAGCTCCATGCTTATGGATTGGGTAACCGAAGCCAAAAGATTGAAGTGGTCCACTAGCATGCGTGTATCCATTAGAATGCCTTGTTGAACTGGGTCCACACCATACGAACGCCACATAGGAAGCGGAACACCCTGGTTATTACGGGAGATGAACGCTTCGCCGGCTTCTGCGATTCATTTGGAAAACAGTTCGTCGTTGTGGTTGCACGCTTTCTCCAGTGCTTGGTTTGCGCCGTTGACGAAGAGATTATCCCTCAGTCATCTCGTCAGGGTGGGATTCAACTAGTTTTGTGAAGGGGTGTTATTGCAGAACATCAACAAATTGATTGTACCGAAGGAGAAGCGTCATCACCAGCAGTTCCCTGACCTTCGGTTGCCAGCGTCCCTCCGTGTCATCTTTGAAGATGACATTGGTAAATTTTGTGGCTGACCACCGATGACGTTTTCACCAACTTTCATGACCCACTTGCTCAGGCTCTTCCCTGCTTGGCGTATGAGCTCCATCGAACCAAAAAGATAATCGAAGACGGTATGAATGCTCTTGGGCTTGATCCCGAGACGATATATGGCTGCAAACCCAGAAAGCGAGGGAGTTTCCGCCAAGGTCTGATTACCACCTCTCCTGTTGGAGTGGGAACCGAGCTTCTCATTGATCTCGTCAGCCAGGACCTCAAACGTGCTGCGAATTCCTTCGAAGAAGTTGGTCCACTTCCTGGACACATCGCTGGAGGACTCACCCGACTTCTTTGTCTTCAGAGCCACCTCGGAGAACTGCGGAAGCATATACTCATAGTCACAACCTTCACCACGATTAGATGAATGTGGCTGAAATAGAAGTCTTCAAAGATGCCGTCTCGGTGGGGATAAATAGGGAGGGTTTGGAATGGTCCATTCTTTTGCCGCTGCAATTGGACTGCAAGTACGTCGTACTGATGGACGAGCTCGTTGATTTCGTAGGAAATTACGCCGGTTACTTTGATGAGGGAGGTCTCGCTTCCGCGCCCACAGCAGTGGTAACTTGCATTTGACAGATGCCAAAACTCAGCGAACTCGGGAGTTTCCATCCAGATGCATGCAGTTGAAAGGGCCTCGCAGTTCTGGCGTGTGCTGGAAACATCTTCGGTCTCGACTTTGCCTTTGGCGCGGTTGGACTCTCGAAACATCTCTTTTAGCTTCTCGGTGAGGTCTCTGAATTGGGCTTTCCAAAAGACGGGAATTGCTGGCTCTGTCCTAAACTTGGATACGGCGAAGTATTTCTTCACGGTGGAACAATACCCTAAAGCAGTGCTTTGACTGATGTGCTGGCTATTAGGATTGCAAGCAGCCCTTGCATGCTTTCCAAGGTATGTGACAAATGAACCCATCAACCGGTCCCACCCTTCAAATACGGCTTTGTTTGTTGCCTGGCGGGGAATCCCCCGATAGGGAATATCTTTGCCTCGTGACACCTTGATACCAATCTGAACGCAGTACCCTTCAAGAAAACAATCCAAGTGCTTCAGGGCTTTCCTTCGCGCGTCTGCGGCGGAGGATAAGAGACCGTCACGGGCATTGGGATAGAAGGTTGGGACTTCATCGTCGGATTCAGACATGGTGTTTTTGTTGAGTATTGTCAAGTTGTTGTCGAGTTGTGTTGGTGTTGCTGAGAGCGATGTACATCTATGGCTATGCAGCATTGGTGCATTGGGTTAGTCGCGGGCGTCTCGGTTGCCGGTTAGGAGTCACGGATATGCTCCAGTGGGGCCGGTGAGAACCCGATGGTTGGTGGGCGTTCCGCGGTGGGCATGCGCTTGTCGTGGGGTCCGGTGGTGCCCGGTGGTGCCCGGTGGTGCCCGGTGGTGCCCGGTGGTGCCCGGTGGTGCCCGGTGGTGCCCGGTGGTGCCCGGTGGTGCCCGGTGGTGCCCGGTGAGCTTGGTAGATGTCCCGCAGAATTGGGGTACAGTTTTTTTCTTCTTTTTCCTTCTGAAACGGTCTACAACCAAAAGGCTGCTTTTGTGGCACCCCTCGACCTAATAGTACATGTATCCTGCCCTCCTCCTCTGCAACCCTTTTTCTCCATAGTCCCCTCTAACCCATAGTGATTTCCTGGACTAACTATGAATCCTGAGGGTTTCCAATATGGAAGCTCCACTGAGGGAGGATCAGACTCTGATGAAATCTCTGCTCTCACTGAACCTAGTGGCATCACTCCCACTTACATCTCTGATGATACCTCTGCCATCACCGAACATACCAGTATTGCTGGATCTTACACCAACACCAACAAACCACCTGCAGAACAGGCAGGCGGTGACTCTGGCAATGAAGCAGACATGGAGGCATCCTCTGGCTGTAATAGTGACTCCAGTACATGTAATGGTAGTGATGATTATCATGATGATGATGGATACACAGAAGACAACCAGGAATACCCAACAAAGAAATTGCCACCCAACCAAGCCACATATAGTGGTGGGGTTGATTCAGGACGCAACCGTGATAATGACCCCATCATGAATCAGCTCGCTGCGGACCTATGTGGGCAATACGATCCCTCCAGAATGGTGCTCACCCAGGAAGAAACATCAGTGGGCTGTTGCCATCAAAACTGCCATTGAAAAAATCCCAGATCTTGATAATTTGAAGGATTTTATGTATGCCCAGCTAGCCATTGTTTCTCAAGGTAATGTTGATGACGCCGTTGTGAAGGCGCACAGACTTCAAGAGTTTAAGGAAGAAAATGAAGTAATGGACACATTGGATGATGCGCTGAGGAATTTGCCAAGAGCAGATAACTACTGGCTCTCTATTGACTACGATATCCAATCTGGTGGCTACATAGTTGCTGGTGATATTACAAAGATGAAGGGAGCCATCTGGATGAATCCAGAGGAGACACGGTACTACAACCGCAGGCAATTCTGTGCCTCCCAAATGGCATATTGTGATTTGGAGGCACTCAGGGTTGGTGTTACTATTCTTGCTGAATGTGAGGGGTACCAGCTGGTCAAAGGGAAAACATTTGACTTGACTGCATTCCGATCCGTTTGGAGGAGTATTCATGCCTATCCAAGACATCTGAAGCAAGTCAAGTTTTTTAATGCTCCCCCGGTCTTCAAGATGATGGTGTCAATTGCCAAAGCAGTGTTGCCAACAGAAGTCACATCAAATTCCATCTAGGTGCCAAATGTCCATTGGGAAGACTGGACCGGCTGTACTGCATGCCAACCCCAGAAGTAGCAAGAGCACGGTTGGAAGAGCGAATGAAAGGGCTCCTGGCAAAACGATATACCAATGAGGCAAACTTTAGTCTCGATGCAATGCTCGACAACGTGTAGTAGTGTAGTTGGAGGACGGGAGACCAAAAATCGCCAACCCATCTTTACTCTGGGGTTGGTCTGTCAGAATTTTGCCTCAACACGGCGGCCAGTAGTTGAACATTTTGTCGGTAGAATTTCTACTAGGTTCTACACAGAATTTACAAATTGGTATCAAGCTGAGGAGAGGACCTCCTCGATCAAAGATCTGCCTCCCATGCAATAGCGGTACCAGTAGCCAGTACTCAATTCATGCAACAAACACCAACACAATGGTCGGCACCCTTCGTCGATCGATCGCTACTACTACTGGTACTACTGACTGCTCTGTCTCATTGAATTCAATCCAAGTTTGACCGACAACAGTGGTGCTGAATGAGCAGGAGTTCCGCCGCGACAGGACTGGCAACAACAAGAGGCAAGGAACATTTCTTCTGAGAGGAGGGTGATTGTAGTGTTGTACGAAATTTCCCACTGGGTTCAGGTCTCATCCGTGCCTAGGGAAGTTGGTCTCGCACAGTCGATCTCTGATTGGAAGGCGTTTTCGACAGTTTCTGCGCGGCCGCTGCCGTTGCGACAATTATTGTCGAGTGGTCTCAGGCCGTTTTTTGTTCTACTGCTACCGTCGTGGCAATTCTTGTCACTGCGACTCCTCCAGCGATTCTTGCCCCGTAATCACAACAACAATTCTTTCGGTCTCATTGCCGACGCACGTGGGAAGTTGACATGTGGAAAGTCGACAGGTGGAAGTCGTCAGGAAAGCCCTTTGAGCCTACTTCGAGCGTGTGATCATTCCTGACATCATACTACTCTAGCTGGAGTGTATGTGCTGTCATACTCCAATGCCTGTTGCACCCACGTTTTAGCCTGTCTCCTAAGGTGGCGCGCATGCCTCCTGCGCGATAATTTCGGCTACATATGAGCTGGATGGGGGGGGGTATAGTTTTGGATCATTCAGTTTGCTCTCGCACATTCCACGCATTGGAGGACTATTTGGGTCTCTCCACCCGAAAACAGAGAGAGATTGACACCATATGGCTGCTTTGATTCGTCGTCGCATCCCCCCGCTCGAATGAAGTTTGATTTCCAGTATTGGTTTGTGTCCCCCCCACCACCTACATCATTGAATACTAGATCTACATTCCCGTTCACCTCAGTATCGTTGACGAGGAAGCATAGCGAGCAGTCCCCAGTCTCGAGCGGCATGACGTTGCTTCTTCAAGTCCGAATATCTCGGCCTACAGCGCCAGCTCTACATTGACGTTGTTCGCACTTGTTTCCAGAACATTGGAATTCCATCAGCAGATTGTCTCTTTATCCGTCCAGAAGTGTTGGTCAGAGAATGTTGCATCAGCCGCGCGCAACGAGCTGGCCGTTTCTTGTTGCTCCAGTTGAGCGCGTAAAATGTTCACTTCCGCCGTATCCTGGGGGCTACTAATTTCGGGTAGCGGTGTACACCAAAAAACCAACTCAGGCGAGGCGGGCGGTGTTGTGTGTCTGTGTCGGCGGACAGAAGGGTGAAGAGCGAGTTTCCTCGACTGCCTTTTTGAGGAAACCCCAGACCATCCCTCGAAATACGTATATAGATCAGTTCGTCGTACAATGTCGCTCGAGGTCATCTCTGAAGCTGGCATCCTCAGTGTCTACGTTGGTGAATACTATGGAGTTCCACCTGGAATCCTCGTGGCTCCGGACGACTTTTGCGTTTCTGTCATCAACGCCAATAGAGCTGCTTCGTCGCCTTCATCCTCCTCACTATCGGAATCCAACAGGTCCTCCTCGGGCGCGGTTTTTCGGCTGACTGCACTGCTCGGGGGAGTCGTCGCCGCTTTGCTTTTGAGAATCAAATGTTCCATATTGCGGATTGCCATTTTCAGTTCCTCCACTTCATCGTCCATGTCATCCTCCACGGGTTCTTCTGTGGTTGCTGTCGTTGCCGAGCAGGCGACTGTTGTGTCTTGGCATCTTGAGTTGTTGTTTGAGTGCTTCAATTTCTTCACGGTAGGTTTGCAACAATGTCTTTTCATCCATCTATTCTTGAATGGTAGACTTCCTGTGGTACCTTCTATGGCACGACGCGCGCAAATTTGAACGTGTTGTGGCCCTTCGATGTGCAATGCCAGTGGCGAAATACAACAACATTCAGCACCATTTGAGCATTTCCCGACAAACTGGGTTGTAGCAATCTCGTCAATTTGGAATCACGGTAGGGGATGTGCTGCTGCGAGGCGTTCTTGCCGCTATTTTTTTGCTTTCCCATTTCGCTGAGTGCGTACACCACCTTTCCAAGAGCCATTAAGGACTTGTTAATGTAATGTCCTTCCTGTCGTCGTGCTTCATTGGCACCATGGAGTTTGACGGATTCACTTCCCGCCAAATCGACCAAACTCAAGAAGACACTCGCACGGCCGTCTTGATTTGTTGTTTATTATTATTGTTGCCACCAAGACTCCCGCCCGCACCACCACCGCGTCTATTATTCCCCACGGCCCGACTTTCAATCCACAATCGCACCATGACATGGGATCGTGAGGAATGTTGATTCATGTTGGTGGCACCAATTTTGCGTCTTTTTTCTCCCTTAGCGAGTATTTCAAAGATTTGTTTGGGACACGTCACAACCTCTTCTCGTAGTCCCTTGATGATGAGTCCTTGTTCCCGATGATCAAAGAGTCGAATTTGACTGGCTCCATCGGCCAATAGGTCCCTAATTTGTTCCTTGTAGACTTCTAGATAACTTACTCGAATGAGGTATTCCCGATCCTTTTCGAGGCATTGGAAGCATTGATGAATGGAAAGAGGAACGATTCCAGGAGAAGTGGGTGTTCCCGTCATCTGAATGTTACCAGGAATGGAGGTTTGACCGTTGCTAGAACAGCGCTGTGGTATCCTTATTTTAAAAAAATAACACACACCAAAACCAAAAACAGAAAGGATAAGAAATCCTTTCACACTACACAGAACAGAAAGAAACATGACTTTTTCTTCCTCAAGTTTTCAGCCTCATCATTTCACACCCATAAATAAATAATTCATGACTGTTTCTTTGTTTGACGTTTCACTTACCTTCCATGGCGGACATTACCAATGGCTTGACCGATTGAGCGTAGACTTCTTTGGTGGAACAAGTAGGTCCATAGACCTTATCGATCGTGTATTGATGCGTCCTCCCCTGTACGATATCCGTTCGAGGGCTTTGCGAGGCAGTGTCTTTTCCAATCACGTCCCAGGCATAAAAGAGATCTTCTTCCGCAATCGGTGCGGGAGACTTTTGGGGCGTCTTGTTACCCTTGGCTGAGGCTTTGGGGGTGGGAATTCCACCAGCTCTACGGGTGCTTGGAACGGGAGGTTTGCGCGGAGACGCATGATGGTCATTGAAGTAACTCGACGAACTCTGCATGGTGATCTGCAACGGCCTTATCCGAGCACAGACTTCAATGTGCGTCTTCTTCTCGGCGGAGGGGCGAGGAGCTCCATTTTCCGCAAACAGCTGTTGCTGGACAGGCTTGAGGTTCGAAGGAGGAGGCATGATGCTTGGGGTACATGTAGATCACAATAATAATAGACTCGACTCACTCAACTAAATGATATTAGGACAATTGCGGGTTGTTGGGTCTTTCTTGGTAACTTCTTTGCTTTCTCCAACTACAAAAAAGTTTGTGCCTTGCGTTTTAGCATCGTCATTTCCAACTAAATCCGTCACTCTCGAGCACAAGCCCAATCGTTGGTGCCGTTGGTTCCGTTGAGCCAGGAAATGGTATCGAGTGACGTCATCATCGCAAAACCAAAAGATTTAATCAAGAGAGGGTGGTTAAATCTCAGCTTTCCAGGCTCGAGCCCTTTTCAAAGAACCGCGACAGTGACCTGGGACGATCGAGCCGTTGTCATTGCATTGCAACACACTCATCGATTGCATCTGCCATTCAAATTGACTGTCACTCTTCACTTGGCTGTCACTTGACTCTTCACTGCTCTATCTACCATGTCTAACGTTGCTGCTGATATCCCAAAAGAGATTTCTCTTTCTCAAGCATTTTCCATGCTGTCGGAGGAACAGTACCATGATGTCTCTCTTCAAGGCAATGACGACGGCGCTCCGATTCGTGCCAGTCGCATTGCACTCTCTATTCGAAGTCCTTTTTTCCAGGCCATGTTCCAGAAGAGATTCAAGGAAGCCAACCAGGACGTAGTGCAAATTGGGTTTTCCAGTCCTGTCTTGAAGGCGATTGTGGAGTACATTCACACGGACAACGCCAGCATCTTGAACTACGATTTTTCGGACGGCCTCGTCACTGATGGTGTGATGGCCACAGTGGAATCCTTACTGTCATTGACCGAAGCAGCCATCTATATGGAATTGCCAGGGCTTTGCGACAAGGTGCAATGTGTCTCCCCGTATCATTTCTAAAAACACACCCCCTCACTTATGGACCGTTGGCCCCAGGTTTAACCGGAGCGAAGCGATGGTTAAACAGCGATGGTTAAACCGTGGGGGCAGGTCCCTTAAGTGAGGTGGTGTGTATTAGAGGCAATACACCGATGGGCGGTTCCGACAGTAATTAAGGCGGTGATTTATTATTATTACAGGTGTTTATTTTTATTTAAGCAGGTGATTTTTGCCAATTAGAGCGGTGTCCGTTAAGTAACATGATTCGTTAAGTAGTTCAAATCATTTCACACGACTACTTCTCAACTCCTTACACCGTGCTTTTTCTCATTGCATATCCTCAATATCTGGTGCACCATTTACAGTCGACAAAAGAGGACATTGCGATAGTAACCAGTGAGTGTATCGAACTGCTTGCCTCATTTGCTCTTGTCACCTAACATCCGCCGTGGTGGTGGTGGTTGATTGTGTGACACCATGGTTGCGACCGTGGCAGTGGTAAGATCAAGACCAAAGGTAAATCTCTTTGTTCGCAATTGGCCGGCATTGCAGAAGATACTGAGAATGGAGAGTTGCAGTTGACTCAGCGCTCCTTAGAAGAGATAGTAGAAGAGGATGCAGAAGAAGAAAGAGAGACACCGCACTGACAAGCCCAGGGAGTATTCCAATACACGTACCAAGCGTCTCAATCCTCCGATGAAGAAGAAGAAAGGACAAGAGAACATCGAGTCCACACCTCTCCAACTTCTTCCCGACGACAGCACCGATGAAGACTCTAGTCGCAAAAGGAAGTCACCTGAAATGTATGGGGCTGTATTCTCTGTTCAACAACCAGTCATGATACTGATAGACGAAAGATCCGTGCCGAATCAATCAATGAGCAAGTGGAGAAAGGAGAAGCTGTGTGCTTGGTACAGCTGCTTGCCAGCCATTTCATCCCTCCAGCGTCTTGTACAGCAAGTAAGTTTGAGAATGGAGTGAAGATGGAATGCTGTTGAGAACAGAGAAGAAGCTGAGTTCGATGGATCCTCAGTCGCTGATCCAAAAGAAGACAGAGCCAAACGTCGAAGAGAAGAAGCCCAAAAGAAGAGATCCAACAAACAAGACAAAGCTCAAAAGGACCCCCGACTTGCTCAACTGGCGTTTGATAGAGACTTGGAAGTACAAAATCGTGCTTTCGGGGAAACCGGAGAAGACATTGGCCACTTTGGCAAAGAAAACCAACCACCGGCGACTCAGCAACCCACACAAATTCCTCGTGCCGTGAGTACCAATCCCTACAAGAAGCCCAACAAGTCACAGGTGCGGCCGCTTCCGACTCAGGTTCAGAGAAAGGCACCACCAAAGGCAAGTCCCTTTCTGTCTCAACTGCAAGTCAACAGTGAACTTCGATCCACACAGGAGAATCTTCTTGTCAAAGTCAATGGAGTTCTGAATGAGGTAGGAGCATACACCAATTTCGATCCAAAAGTAGCCAAGAAAATCAAAGGCACCAAACGCGGATTGATCAGGCAAAGACTGTCAAGCGAAAGGAAGCCGCGGAACACAGATTCTTTGAAGCAATGAGAGAATATGGAGGAGAACTCTTTGCGCCTCTGCTGGAAGTGGTTCCAGTCGCATACAACGACTTTGACAAGTCTCCTGACCAACTTGACTATGCATTCTTCAATGCATTTGCTGGTGAAAAGACACGCACCAAACAAAAGCTTCTCAACATATTCTTGATCACTTTTCATCAGACGCTTAGGTGCAAGTCAGGAAAGAACGTTGGAGGTCCCCTTCAGCCTTCTGTAGAGAAGAATGTTGTAGAGAGTCTTTTCAGTATCTGGCACAAGAAAGGAATCTTGTACAAGTACAACAAGGACTTCAACGGTCCAGAGAGTTCCACGGAATCGCCATCGATGCATGGAGTGATCGTCGCAAGAAAGATCCCATGTATGGAACACAACCAAATCAGAAGCGGGTTACCACCAATCTTTTTGAACTTGTGTGTCAGGCAGCCAGTTCTCGATGGGAGGTTGGACTTCAATAATGCGTATCACAAGTTCCTTGCACAGTACTTCATCAGCGGTAAATGGGTTGGTTTTCGGGGAGAAACTGAACACCACAACTGTTTGTTGGAACATCATCGTGAAGGAGTCCATGATAGCACTCAGAAAGGTCTTGCTGGTACCCCTTTTTGTGGCATCTTTGTCCCGGAAGACAAAACCAATCAGCTCAACTTCGGCAACACGCGAATCACTCCCAACGAAGAGCGAGTCATCACCTTCCAATCATACCGCCATTGTCCATTTGATCCATGGTTATGGCGAACTGATTACGTGTCGAAGCAACATCCCGACTCGATCAACTTTTACAATTATCCCATTCTCAAAGAGAAGCATCGCAAAGAAATGAATGAGTCGCTCAAAGAAGCCGATATCCAGTGGAACTTGGACAATCCGGACAAACCCCAACGGGAGATCAAGGAGTATGATGTTTGGTTCTATCGCTCTTGTCCAGGAGAGAAAAACCCGATGCCAAAGGCAATGTCGGACACAATCGTCATCGTGAATTCTGCAAGGAGTTTGCAAAGATAGTTGGAGTTGAAGATTGGATCAAAGCTACCGGTCAGGCGTTTCGGGCTCTCAAAATCACGCTCATGATGGGGGCAAGTGTCAATCCCCATACAATCGCACATGGTGTCCGCCACAAGTCCATCCGGTCACAAGGTACGTATGCAGTAATGACTGCTGCTCGTAAACAGACCGCGGCCGATGCTTTGGATTGCGAAGTATACCAGCAAAAGGAAGATGACACTGATCGAAAGAAACCGGCCGTGGTAGGTGGCACCGGAAGAACTCCACTTGCCATTGTCGACTTGAATCATTCCACGCTATCGAACAGCGACTTTGCGGAACTTCAACGTCTTCGACAAGAGAAGGAGAATCGTCGGTTGGAAGAACAGAATCGCATCTTGCAAAAGCAACAACAGCAACAACAAGCAGATGATGATGCAGATGCAAATGCAAGCCCAAATGCAGATGCAGATGCAAATGCAACAACAGATGAATCCCATGGCAATGATGACCGGCTTCGCCGCTATGATGGGAATGGGAATGAACGGCAGCATGATGAGTAATGGAATGAATCAAAACAATGTCCGACGCACAATGACACCACCGATGAATCAAATCAGCATTCCTCAAAACAATCAACGATTCCTGTCCCCATTATCCTCCAACGGAACAGTTTCATCAAACACTTCCTCGATTGCCATCATGCCAAACCTACCTGGAACGGCGTCACAACCAGCAAACAACGGCCCGAATGGTCATTGGTGGAGGTTGGAATGGCAACAATGGTGGATTCAATGGAAATGGAGGATGGTTCAATTGAAAATGGCATAGATTTGGCTTGTGTTTTGGTTTTTGAGATTGAGATTTTATGAACTGAACTGAGCCGACAACTGAACTGAACTGAACTGAAATCAGGTCGATTTCTTTCTTGCATACGATTCGGATTGATCCCCTGGAGTTGATGCTCTCTTTACCTTCCGTTGGCTAAGAACCCCGATAGCTAGCAACAATTTTTATTGTTTAAATTCTCTTGCAAACAAATACCATAGTAATTGTTTCAGAAATTGAACATCTTCATTGTAGCTTAAAGATACGGTTTAGTCTATATTTTTCTGGGATTAAATCCAACGCCGATTGTATCTGATGCACATCGACTATTGAACAGATGCACATCACTCCAAAAATCGTACTCGGAATCGATTCAATCGTACTAAGTTTGCCAACTTTGCAGCCTTCAATTTGCCATTGTTGCTATCCCAGAGACTCAAAAAGAAATAGAGATACTCTATGGACCGGTACCAGGAATAGCAACAAGCCGCTTTTGTAGGTGACGACGTTGAATTGATGTTGGCTCCTACTTACGCTGAGTATCGACTGAAATTTGTGTTGAACATGGTCGCCGAATTTCTGTAATTAGAGAGGTACGTTAGAGGTGCGCGGGGGAACTTGTTTGATTAGGACAAAAAATTATTTAAGGGTCAATCGCCAACCCATCTTTACTCTGGGGTTGGTCTGTCAGAATTTTGCCTCAACACGGCGGCCAGTAGTTGAACATTTTGTCAGGTAGAATTTCTACTAGGTTCTACACAGAATTTACAAATTGGTGTCAAGCTGAGGAGAGGACCTCCTCGATCAAAGATCTGCCTCCCATGCAATAGCGGTACCAGTAGCCAGTACTCAATTCATGCAACAAACACCAACACAATGGTCGGCACCCTTCGTCGATCGATCGCTACTACTACTGGTACTACTGACTGCTCTGTCTCATTGAATTCAATCCAAGTTTGACCGACAACAGTGGTGCTGAATGAGCAGGAGTTCCGCCGCGACAGGACTGGCAACAACAAGAGGCAAGGAAACATTTCTTCTGAGAGGAGGGTGATTGTAGTGTTGTACGAAATTTCCCACTGGGTTCAGGTCTCATCCGTGCCTAGGGAAGTTGGTCTCGCAACAGTCGATCTCTGATTGGAAGGCGTTTTCGACAGTTTCTGCGCGGCCGCTGCCGTTGCGACAATTATTGTCGAGTGGTCTCAGGCCGTTTTTTGTTCTACTGCTACCGTCGTGGCAATTCTTGTCACTGCGACTCCTCCAGCGATTCTTGCCACGGCTAAATCACAACAACAATTCTTTCGGTCTCATTGCCGACGCACGTGGGAAGTTGACATGTGGAAAGTCGACAGGTGGAAGTCGTCAGGAAAGCCCTTTGAGCCTACTTCAGCGGAAATCCAACAATTGACAACTCTACGGAGTGTTTGATCCTGTCAACAATGGCGGCACCACGTCCTCTCCAGTGGGAGCATGCCGCGGCAGATAAATTCACCGACAATGACTGGAAAGAGCAACAGTTTTGACTGCAACAATTCCACGCTGGAGACTATTTTGGTCTCATCCATGCTGCTGCTGCTGCTACAATTACAGCGACCCTAGGCAAAAGACAAGAACAACACGATGACGACGACATCACTCTTCCCCTCGACTTCCACTCTTTCAATCCACTATATTTGGTTGCCGACAGCATCGACGAGCCATCTCCTCTGGCACTGGTAAGCTCACAACCATTATCACGGAGAGACCTTTGGTTGACTGCTGCCGTGGAAAGACAGATGAAGCAAAATTCACAGGCAACAACAACAACGAAAGGATCAAGCCAACGTTGGTTGCCGGGTGCGCTAAGGAGCTCATTTCTGACCGTAGAATTTTTGGCCGGCCACGACGAGACAACTCAACAAACCATTATCCGAAGAACATGTCAATGATGGCGATGCTACTCCTCCATTGACACTTGCAACTGGGATGCCATCTGCTGCTGAAGATGACAAACGAACAAGGGGAAATCCTGGCAAGCTCATGCTCGACAGCAACAACAATTCCAACATTGTCCTTCAACCCCCACCTTCTTTGATTCCCAACGCCTCCAAGGAGACTACTTTGAGCGCGGAAAGCTGACAATTACTGCATTACTACCTCCTCGCCCAGTCTTGCTGCTACTGGCCACAACCCGCGGCATCCTAAAATCTGAATTACCAGCGATGTGTCCAGTATGTCGTCATCTGCAGAGTTTGTCCGCTCCTTTGAAGATGCCATACGAAAAAGGGGAGATCCCGGCAAGCTCGTGTACGATAACAATGGCTCTTTTGGCCTCACTGTGAAAGAGAAGCACAATTTCCGCCACAATGATGTGAATTCCACCTGTCACAACAACAGCAATACTATCGTCCTCCATCAACACTTGTGTGCCATCTACTGCAGAGGAGACTGTCCCTCCCTTTGAAAATGCCATGCAAACACTGGGAGCTCGTATCTGGTCAGCAGCAACATCACTTCATTCGCCTGGTTGACTCCACCCTGGATACTGGCATCATCTGTGCCGCTAATAACTCTATGAGCCATCCTTAGTAGCCAACGTCTGCCACAAGAAGGAACCTTTGGTCAACGACGATGAAAAACATGACAAATCACTAGCCACCACACTGTTGTCACCGATGCCTCTTTTGGTTTATGATGAAGCCTATAACATGATTTTGGTACCATGCGCCGACCGTGAAAGGAAGTCATTCCTTGGTAGACAGGGAGCCACCCTTTAACCTGCGATGACACCATTACCAACAATGCCACGTCCGACAAACCACGACGAGTTATCTGCCCTTATACCAACGTCTGCGAGCTAATCATCTCTCCCTCAGAATGTGCTCGTGCCACTAGCTCTTCCTCATCATCGCCTACCTCTTCTTTGGCCCTCGACACCTACAATCACCCCTCCCTCTTTTGTCGTCAACAAACGTCCCATTACATGACGTGACAATTAACATATTGGAGGCCATTTAGTTCACAACGTCTACAACAAGAAGGACCCACCTTTGATTGTCAAACCTGACAGCTTGAAAGACTCACTTTCCGCCCGTCAAACGACGGCAACTGCCTCCTTGACCGAGCCCATCTTCGATCTCTTTGGCTCCAATTTCGACAACAAACTGATCCTCTTAGGAGCTATCACGATGAAAATAAGGGAACCAGCAATAACAAGATTGCCATCTTTTTGTTGTCCTCTCGCAAGAAGCCACCTTCTACCTGCTGTTGGACACATTCTTTGGGAACAGGTGAGCTATTTCCTCCTCCTTCCACCTCAGTTCCATCGGAACCAGGGGAGCAAGCAACAATCCATCCAGTTTTCCTAACAATCAACCAATGGACCACTTTAGCCAACCAACAAGGGGAGCTTTTTACCACCACATTTGCCTCTTTTCTCTAATTCAATCTTCTTTGGAGTCACGATTCTCATTTTTATTTCCACTACCATGCAGACTTATAGCGACTTGCAATGCTCATAGTTTTCTTCTTTCTCGTTTGCCTATGCAACTCTTCAGAAAGGTCTAGTTGAGTTATGAAGCTCGACGCCAACCTTTGCTAAAGCTTTCCTTCGGCAACAAGAACGTGGGTTGGCGCTCCCGGAGGCACCTCTTGTTTAATTAACGTCGCACCCCAGGTGAAATTACTTAGGATAGCCCAGGTGTGTTGCGATCGAATGCCCGCCAATGGCCTGGAAGATTCTGGAAGCATCCACTCAAAACGGGCCAGTCATCTCGAAGAAATTGAATTATTAGTGCCGACACTCTCATGACAGTCGTCGATGATCTTCGCAAATTGGCCCAGACCGACGACCGGTCCAAGGGATTGGATGATTGCATTGGAGTGTGCAGGCTGCTCAAATATTGGACCGGCAGCCCTCCTTCCACCGGTGAAACCAAGGAACGCCGATTGAATGCCGCCAAGCACTTGATGCAATGCTATGAGCTAAAACTGTTGCGCTCCGATACCTTGTCTGTCCTGTTCACTGCGCCCAAGTGCGAGCAGCGATGGAAGACACAAAAGTCTCATATCTTCGCAACGTCTAAGCCAAAAGAAAAGGATCGTTTAGAAGGACATGTGTTTGCTTTGGGAGAGACGTATCAGTGGACGGTCAAAACGAGGGCCGTGGATCTTAATGGCTTTGGTTCTTCCCTGTGGCTTGGCATTGCAAAGTCCACGGCGACACTCTCTCCAAGAGTGTCTTGCGAAGGACTAGAGGATTGCTGGGGCGTTTCTGGAGAACGAGGAACTGTTTGGTCCGATGGTGTATCTACAGAATTTGGTTCGACAGCCTTTTTTGGAATGAGTGGATCACGCCATGTCATCACCATGACCCTCGACTTGTCCGTGAGCAACACAGACAACGGTACGTTGTCCGTGACCGTGGATGATCGAGAACCACTAGTGATCGCTTCCAATCTGTGCAAAGAGTTGAAAGGGACTGGCGTTGGCTATGTACCCGTAGTGTCCGCCGACTGGCAAGTGATCATCATTGAGAATGTTCGGGAACTCTAGATGTGACCATGGCGCACTGCAGTGGAAAAGCTTCATATTTGAATGGTCACAGTAAGGAAGAATTAGCTGTCAGAAGCTCATTGCTTTGGCAGGAAGCGAGGTGGGAGTGCTTCCAATCAACCTAAAGCTAGCTTGAATAATACAATTCGATTGCACCTGCAGACATCGTATGTCTGTATGCTGCAGTGGGGAAAGCATTCTCGATTGATGCATCTTGCCCTTCAAGGGAAAAGAAGTATGGTGGTGTAATGAAACAAGAAAGGGAGAACCCCAGACTCACTCCATCAGTCAACACAAACCAAAGAGTGCATTACTTTCGGGTCTTCCGGGTCGACTCTTACTATCAACTGGTTCGCTAGTGAGAGAGCTATGGTACTACAGTTGGCTCTACCGGTATTGGTGCCGTACCGTAGCAAGCGCCAACTTCCCAAGCAGAGAAAGAAAAGATGTTGCTTGCCATCAAAATGCTTGCTCTTTCGATACAAGGCTTCGAGCAGTCCCCTCTCTGGAGGGTACCGGTACCTGGTAGTTGGTATCTGTACGGAACGGCATCTTTAGCGGCTCTGCTAGCTACCGTAGCTATAGCTATCTCTAAAAGGGTATCGCTCACACAACAGCAACCTCGCAACTTCGTCACCACATCCCAAGTAAAAGACAGCTGTAAAAGAGAGTGATCAATGATTTGTACATGTACAAGGTAGCAAGAACAGCCATCGACAATGGAGCAAGACGAAGATCCCATGATGGCCTTTCAAGAAGGCGTGACGGAGATAATGATGGCCTGCGAAGAGTTACGTCAGCCTTTCAAAGCGGAGAATCCCAAGGTTCCCACGGCCGTTGTAGTCCAAGGCCGCGACGATCTCAATCTCATGTTTGAAAATCTGGGAGGGATGCATCATCAATTGCACCAGAATAATAATAATGCCAATGCCGGTAGCAATCCAGAAGATGAACAAATACAAAAGGATCTGTTTCAGCACTGTCAATTACGGGTCGCTCAAGTGGCACAGTTGGTGCTCGAGCGAGCCATGGCCAGTGCCGAACCACAAGAAGAGGAGGATTCTTCCAAACGGAACAACAATGCTGATGACGACGACGACGAACAAGCTGCCCAAGCCGCACAACAACAGTTGGAACTCGAACGACAAGATTTTCAAGCCAGCATTGCTCGCATTGCCGAATTGAATTTCATTTGGTGTCTCGAGACGGGACAAGAAGAGCGAATAGCACAAATTGTGGAACAATACGCGGCGAGTCAACGCAATGCCTTGCGAGAACGAGCCAAACCGTCCATTGCGAGATTGGTGCAAGAACGACGCAACAATAATGATTTGGTGATGGAAAAATTGCCACACAGTCACGTCATTACCGTCATTTTGGGACAAGCTTCGGCTTTGATTCATCCATTGCTGACATGGCTATGTAGTCTGCCACCTCCTCCGGAAGCGGGTCAACTGGTGAATAAATTGGTCGAAGCCATTCGATCGCTTTGTGAACAATCCGTACAAGTACTCGATGAGCAAGCACAGACGCTGGTTAAAACGGTCACGGGTTGGTTCTGGACGGATCGAAATGTTGATGACTGGATGGCCAAGAGCAATTCCCAAGAAGGATTGGGAAGTGACAGTAACAACAACAAACTCTACTTGGGTACACTCGATGGACTCGTCGAAGAAATGGCGTTTTCTTGTCAAGTATTGGCACGGTATCAAGCACTCATTCAAAGCGTCCCACTAGCCGTGGTCCAAAAAACCATTGAACACGAAATATCCCCCGAATTCCAATGGAAATACGCCACCTTGGAACGATTCTTGGCCACGCAACAATGGAAATCGGCACTTATGTTGGCCACACCCGTCAGTATCGTATTGGGGACATCGATTCAAGTGCCGTCCGTCGTGGAGGATGCCCAATATCTCAGCACGCGGGCACTGGAACGAGCGGCATCGACGCGGTCTACACAAGCCATTGGGACCGTCGCCCATGCCATTTCCAGTCATGTATGGTCTACCGATATCACGGGAGGGGTTCATCAGGCATTGGCCGATCAGGTTGGATGTTATGTGGATGGCACTGCATCAGCCACCGAACAACAGCAAGCATCACAACAACAATCCCCGCCTCGTAGTAATACCAACAGTTTTGCCTCGGCCCTCTTGGGTGCCTTGGATGAGGATATTGGCAACAAGAAAACTCCACCCTCTTCGCAACCTCCTTCCAGTGGAGGAGCACCGTCTTCGGGAGGGCTCTTTCAATCGTTGGTGGGAGGCGGCGATGGCCTACAGCAAATACGCATCAATACCGATTTCTGTAACCTCAATGGAATTCACTCGGCATCGACCGCTTGTCGATCCTTGGTCAAATTCCTAGATGGACTGCTGGAAAATCCAGAGGCCAACAATGAGGAAGGTGGCGACCCAGCAGCATCCTTGAAACAAATGAATGCCATGATTGAACTTGCCAGGGAGGAACTATCGCACTATGGCAATGCCTATGACGCCATGTTGAAGCTGAAAACACAGCATGTCATCCAACAGTGGTGTGGCAGTCTGCAAGATCCACCCAAACGAAAGAATTGTCCTTGTATCCCGTTGTTGCGGTACTACTTTCTCAATGAAAACTTTGAATTGGATCAGGCATCGTTCAAAGCTGCCGAATCGGATTCTCGCTTGGAGCAAGACCTGTTGAGTGCGCTCAGCGAATCCAAGTTTCTCCAACAATCACACGACAAGAGCGATGCGGAAGTATTGACTGGAATCCGAGAAGAGCTTACACAAATCATTGAGGAATTGATCTTGGACTGCTTGCTTCATGCCGAACCTCCCAAGCGATTCACCGATTGGGGTTCGCTGTTGCTTAGCAAACAAGTTCGAATGTTGAAACTGTACTTGGCCAAGTTGCAAGACAAGAACAATACCAGTGGTGCCGCGGAATCCAGGAATCCTGCTGCGACAACGAAGTATCGACCGTGGGAACGTTTGTCCCAAATCGTCACCGTGTTACAGCTAGAGAGACCATCGGATTGGACGCTGTATCAATCTACGTCAGTGCTGACACCCCAAGACGTTCGGACAGCTATGCAGCTACGAGTGGACTTTTCAGCAGAGGCCATCAAGACAGTTGTTGCAGCCATGAGTACCAATGGAGCGAACGGACAACACAAGTAGAGTAACTGTTTCCTAATTGATGCTAATAAGGACAAACATTTTTGATTCGATTCGACTAGATTGTACGGTACCGTATCTCTCTGACCGTCGTCCTGCTACATGTTCGACTGTTGGCTCAATGTGGCGAACCAACAACTTCGTCCCGTCCCAAATCTGCTGGTAGTACCATTGCAAAGGGACACACTGGGGCTTTTTCCTTTCTTTCCGTACCGGTTGACATTATCAGTTTTTCTTGCATTCGACGTGGATGCTCCTCTGCCCAAAATTCCATAAAGCGCTCCAAATTGTTGCGATGAAACCGTACTAGTCGCCCCCGCAACGGACTAATTGGCAAACCAGCTATCGTATACAAACAGAACACAGTCAGATGGATGGTCGAAAAGATCCACTGAAAGAATCGCCCCCACCAAGTAGGGCGAAGGGGCAACTCTAGCGCATCCGCTAGCCGATCTCCGACAAAGCGCCGGCATTGGATGCTACGAAAATAGAACCAGTTGGTATCTTGGCGTGCTAGGGAAGCTTCATCTTTGCTTGCATCGTGGTTGTTGCTATCGCCGTCCCGACGTCTTCCTTGTCGAAGCAAATGGTGTGCAATTTGAACAGAGGAGCTGTCTGGATGCAGCGCGTGCATGATAATCGATTGGAAGACGGCGTAAGAATGAGCCATTGGGTCCGGTGATGCGATCAGCCATCCAGGTCCGCAAGGATCAAGAGCTCTTCTTTTGGGAGCTGCGCTAGCATCATCGTCGTCGATGTCATCGTTGACATCCACTCCCAACAGCCATCCCAAATAGCGCCACAAGGCGAGATAATCGAGGCGTTCTGACAGTGGCAAAGGCCTACCCAGCAACATCTCGGCGCCCAACAGGGCGTTGGTGGAAAACGCCAACAACGTTGCGGCCATGTCTTCCTGGTTGATTGGTATACCCAGGTTTTTAGTATCCCACTGGCGACCTCCCTTTCGTAGCAACAGTTGTCGTCTCACTTTGGCATGCAACAGTCGCACCCTCAGGGCTGCCTTCCAACCATCACCACCGGGCAAAATGGCAGCCACATCTTTTGACTGGAGACAAGCGCCCACGAATGCACCAGTATCCATTAGCCGCTGATGGACTGCAGTCTTGCTGGAAGGCGGAGCTAGATAGGCAGTTGCCTGTAACACGGCTGCAATCTTGGGTATCGAAAATCCAGGAACCAATGATCGGTAGTAGAGACCCAAACCAATCGCAGGAGCGTACGCGAGGAAAACTTCCTGTCCTCTCTGGAGTTGTTCTTTGTCAACCCAAGACGGTATTCGTGAGATTTGGGTGATCATTTTCTGGAGTGCCTGATCTGCTTCTGACTGAGATTTTACGTCCGCTGGGACTCGACCAAACAAATCGTCACCAGGACCCAAAGCACGATTCTCTTCGGCATACAACGCCAGGATCCGATCAAAGGATTCGTCTCCAATTTGCCGATAAGGTTCTAAAGTGTCGGTACTCAGGTGACGCCCTGGTCCTTTGTCACCATCATAGTCCATCCACAACACATCTTGACCAAAGTGACTCCGTTTGCGTGCATTGGCAGGCCACTTCTCGGGGTTCAAAGGAAACCTCGTGGAGGGCAAGTTCAGGGAGTTGTAGGACCAAAACATGGTGCCCTGTTTCAGATTGTGTAAATGTAGAAGACAACTACCTTCGAGCGAGAGCCGACTTCTACATTGGCCACTCTTCTACCTTACGCTTCTACATCCAACCAACAAAAGCATCAGCATCATCTTCGCCGTTTTCGCCTGTGAGTCAGAGGAGAGAGAGCGCCTGTCACGTGTAACGTGGACAAGATTTTTACGACCGTGTTCTTGAGAGAAGAAGTTTCACAAAGATCCAACGCAGAAAGAGAACTCGGAAAAATCGATTGCAAACCGGTACCAGGTACTAGGTAGTACCAGGTACTGTACCGGTACATGTAGGCCGTTCGCGTTGTTTAGAATTTGACCGCACCTCCAGGTCAAAAATACCATCGCCGCTCGTTCCAAATCCACCATCATCTGTTCCCGTATCTGTGCCATAGCCTGCGGGCCACTACTGGTACGAGCCTCTATGAGTCGATGCCAGAGAAGAGGAACATGTACATGTTGTTTGCAGTCCTCTCCACAAAAACTTAATGAAAATTAATGCGATTGCTAGTTAGCTATTGGTACCTGGTAGCTGCTGTCGCTTCAAAGGAGCAACCTGGGTTCGACCTCAACTGAAGGCTGCTGTTTGTCGCTCGAGCTGTACTTCCTCTGGTTGCCCACAATTTTTCTTGTAGCCAGCTTTCTAGCACGTCACCTTTCCTGATACATGCATTATATGTTGCGTATTGTTGTGTCAAAATCCGAGAAAGGGTGTTTTCCAGCGCTCAATTCAAGCCAGCTTGGTACCCTAGCTAGAGGCCAGTGAGGCGCCTTTCCCGTAACCAGGATTTATGGGAAAGTTCTACTTCTCCACCAACATTTGTGGGAAGGACACCCTCAACTAGGCCATACGTCGCCATTCCTTCATAGACCTTTTCCATGTCACTGCCTCCATGAAGACGAATCCGCTTTCGCAAATCCCCCAGGAATATCTTCAGGATTGGCATAACAATGAAGAAGATCTTGGGCGGAGAAAAAATGTGGAACCCAGACAGTCGCACAGGAATGCACCCTGCAACACTAAATGATGTGACCCTAGCAAACTCCTGGTCAAACTGAGAGAGATTGAAAGCCCTAGCATCAAGGAGGAATATGACACCCTTCTTTTGTGTCTCTTCATTCTCCAAGGCTGCATGGAACACATACCAGAAAGTACGCACCATGCTCAGGCTTGCGTAGGTGCCAATGTTCTGAGCCGAGGGGTCCCCAAACAATAGGGTCCTGCCGGAAGGATGGTTCACGGGAGAAAGTGTTGGAAATCCAAGGGAAAGAGCCAGACAATCATCGCGCAAAGCCTTGTCAAGTGTCAAGGGTTGGAATGCCTTTTCAAGCCCAAAAACCTCCACTCTTTTGTCCCAATATTTGGCATAACGCTTCGCTGCCTTTTTTCGTTGAAACATTCACATCGCAGGAACATGAGTTTGAACTTGTCAGTCAATAATGCTGGGCACTTGTTCACAGCCATCTTGAGAGAGGTCTTCTTGTAGTCAGGTATGGCCACCAATTGAGTCTCGAAAGACTGTAATTTGGAGGCAATAAGCTGTGGGGTTTCAATGGGGTGTGTTTGCCCATAATAGTCTGGGGCTGTGAATCGAAGGGTACAAGGACTTCCTTCAGATAACGAGTCAACAGAGCTCAAGCTGAACGAGTCATGTCGAGTGGTTTCAGTAAGCTCATCTTGTTTGCATTTGCCTTCTCCTGTGGTCATTTTGGAAACATCATCTTGATTGTGGCAATGTAAAAAGATGGGCTGGTCCTCTTGTGGAGCAAAGCCTGATGCCAACTTGGTCACTGACACCTCCCTCGGAGGGGGTGGTTCCTTTTGTAGCCGATTTTCTTCAAAATCTTCTGAAGATACCACTGCCGGTATCTGCATTGCCCTCCTGGTCTCAGTCAAGCTCCGATTGGACACACCTGCATTTGCCGAGTTTGTTTGTTTCTTCAACGACTTCAGTTTGAATAACATGTTCCGACTCGTATATCAACATTGGTACTTCTTTCGTCAAGGGAGAGATATGAAACCAAGCTAGCTACATATAGTAGAAAAGCAGTTTGTTGCTGACCACAAGGAAGGCCATGAGGTAGGGTCGATGACCATTATTGTGTGCAAAAGCGAAGTGAAGGAAAGAGTAGGAGCTCTTATCGTCAACAAGCATGCATGCTGTGATGCTGTGACGTAACAGGTGTGTACGGTACGAAAGGTCACGTGAAATTGTAAAACGGAGAAATTCGGTCAAGGCTGTTTGGATCGGAGATCCATTGAAATCCTGCAGTTCCTCTGTCTGCCGATCAGAGCTCTGGGGCCCGATCCTCTTGCTTGTGCATGTCGGTAGAGATACCGGCAAGTACACAATAATCTCGTAGATGTAGCCAGTGGTTAGAGAAAGCTGCTGATGGCCACTTGTTCTTTGCGCTGGCTACGGACGATTCAAAGGACGTAGTCTATCAAAGTTGGCAGCGCCTGCGGACCGATTGTGGCATCATTATTCACCGGAATGAAGGCGTTCTATGTTTGTGTAGAGATTCTTAACAAAGTAATGAAGGGTACAGGTATATTCCAGCCCACAATTCAATCCAGCTTGCTATCGTACCGGTACGGGTTACTGGTAGCTAGAGACCAGCAAGGCGCCTTTCCTGCAGCCAAGATTCATGGGAAAGCAAAACCTTTCCATCCACGTTTCTGGGCAGCACGGTCTCAACCAGGCCAAACTTTGCCATTCCTGCACAGACCTTTTCCATGTCACTGCCTCCGTGAAGATAAATCCTCTTTCGCAGGCGCTCCCCAAGGAAAATCTTTAGGACTGGCACGATGATCAAGAATATTCTGGGTGGACAAAATCCATGAAGACTAGACAAACGCACTGGGATGCACCCTGCAACACTAAATGCAGTGACCCGGGCCAAGTCCTTGTCAAAGAGTGAAAGCTTGACTGTCCTGGTATCACCCAAGAATACCAAACCCTTCTTCTGAGTCTCCTCATCTTCCAATGCTGCATGGAACATGTACCAAATAGCACGAACCATGCTTTGTGTTGGGTAGGCACCAATCATTTGGGTAGTGGCATCTGCAAATAGAATGTTTCTGCCTGAGGGGTGCTTCGTGGGAGAAAGTGTTGGAAATCCAGTAGACAGAGCCAGACCATCATCGCACAAAGCCTTGTCTAATGTCAATGGTTGGAATGCCTTTTCAGGCCCAAATACTTCCACTCGGTTGTCCCAATACTTGGCATACCGTTTGGCTGCCTTTTGATCATTAAAGCACTCACAACGTAGAAACATGAGCTTGAATTTGTCTGTCAAAAGCTCAGGGCATTTCTTCATGGCCTGCTTGAGACAGGTCTTCTTGTGGTGGGGTATGGCTACTAACTGGTGCTCAAAAGACTGCAATTTGGAAGCAATAAGTTGTGGGGTTTCAATGGGGTGTGTCTGCCCATAACAATCTGGCTCTGTGAAGCGAAGGGCACAGGTTCCGTCGTCAGATGAGGAGTCAAATGAGCTCAAGCTGAATGAGTCACTTGTAGTGGTTTCAGTGGCTTCCTCTTGCTTGTATGCGTTGTCTCCTTTTGACATGCTGGAAACACCACCTTGATTGTGAGGATGAAATAATATGGGCCGGCACTGTTCGGGCGCGAAGCCAGATACCAACTTGGTCACTGTCACGTTCTGGTGAGTTGGTGCTTTGTGAAGATACTCCAGTGTATCAGCATCTTCAAATTCGACAACTGCTGGTACTGGCAACCAATTGTCAGCCCAAAAAGTTGTCTTCGCGGTCTCCTCTGATTTCATTCGTCTCTTGAACAATTTCGTCGGAATCAAGCCATAGACCTTGGGCATTGTGCGCTTTTCTTGGAGAAAAGATGGTAGGAATCAACAGGCCTGCCAAGGGTTTTTCGTGGTTGTTTAGTTTATGGCCATAATAGCAAAACAAATCCGTGCTAGTAGTTGCTTGCCATCATCTTTGGGAAGCCTGTGATGAGGTCTTCGCAATCATTGGATGTTCGGATCTTCTCACGGTTCTCGTTGGGGAAGATCGTCAACTCAAAAACTTGTCTTCCTCGAGTGGACGTGGCTTGGAACATTCCGGACCAGTCGTCGGTGGAGCTGTTCCTAAGAAATCATCGTGTTAAATCCCAATTGCACCGAGCACCGAGCTTCCGTGCCTGGTACCGGTACCGATACCTTTACCGTACACTGTGGTACAGGTTCCCATGCTTGGGTCAGATAGCCGCTCTATTTTGTAATGAATGTTGTAGAGGCTAGCATTTTTTATGTTATCTAGATAGCTAGTCTAGCTAGTTTAGTTGAGACAGCTACCTCCCGGTACTAGATTGCGTGTACATCATCGCACCACAAGCGATAAAAGAGCATATGTCGAGAAAGCCCAGTACGTGAGTTTGAGCACAGCTTGAAAGTCGTGGAGTGCTTTTCCACCCATTTCAGGCAAACAGCCTTAGAGTCCAGCAAGCCGCCTTTCTTGCAACCAAGATTCATGGGAGAGCTCGACTTCACCACCAACATTTGTGGGAAGAACCCTCTCAACTAAGCCATACTTGGCCATTCCTGCACGGACCTTTTCCATGTTTTCACCTCCATGGAGGCGAATTCGCTCTCGCAAGCGCTCCCCCAGGAAAAACTTTAGGAATGGCAAGATAATAAAGAAAACCTTCGGAGGATAGTATCCATGGATACCAGAGAGTCGCACTGGGAGGCACCCTGCAACACTCAATGCAGTGACCCGTGCAAACTCCTTATCAAAGAGTGAGAGCCTGATATACCTACAATCACCCACGAATACCAAACCCTTCTTCTGAGTCTCCTCATCTTCTAATGCTGCATGGAACATGTACCAGACAGCACGAATCATGCTTTGTGTTGTGTAGGCACCAATGTTTTGCGTGCTGGGGTCAGCAAACAAAATGTTTCTGCCCGAGGGGTGCTTCACAGGAGAGAGCATAGGAAAGTCGTGGGACAGAGCAAAACCATCGTCACATAGAGCTTTGTCTAGTGTCAAAGGTTGGAATGCCTTTTCCGGCCCAAATACTTCCACTCGTTTCTCCCAGTACTTGGCATACCGCTTGGCTGCCTTCACTTCATTGAAGCACTCACAGCGAAGAAACATTAGCTTGAATTTGTCTGTCAAAAGCTCCGGGCAATTCTTCATGGCCTTCTTAAGACAGGTCTTCTTGTGGTGTGGTATGAGCACCAACTGGTACTCAAAAGATCTCAATTTGGAGATAATTAGTTGTGGGGTTTCAATGGGATGCCTCTGCCCATAATCATCTGGTTCTGTGAAGAGAAGGGTACAACGTTCCTCCTCAGATAACGAGTCAATTGAGCTGAATGAGTCATGCCTTGTCACTTGAGACTCTTCTTCTTGTTTGCACTCATCATCGCCTCCGATCATGTCAGGAACATCTTCTTCGTGGTGGTGATGATGAAGCATGACGGGCTGGTCTTCTTGAGGTGCCAAGCCGGACACCAATTTGGTAACTGACACCTGCCTCTGGATGGATGGTGCTTTTGGGCGATCCTTGTAGGAATCCTCTTCATCTTCGGGTACAGGTGATCTACCGGTATCAGACCTAGACGATGACCCCATGGTCTCGAACGACTTGGTCTGTTTCTTTAGTTTTCTCTTCAGCAACGTTTTTTTAATCAAGCACTGAACCATGGTGTCGTCGCTTTGTGAGATTAAGGGTGCTTCGAAGCGAGCTTGTTATTACTGGTACCAAAAAGAAGAGAGGGATACTGGTAATGAAGATTTCGATTCGATTCAGCAAGAGCGATCCTGTGGGATGGACGAATAACCAGCGGTATGGCACCAACAGCAGCGGTGGTTACAATGTTACAATCTCTTACGGATACTAGTATCGTCGACGCGTCGACGCAATAATGAGATGCTGTCGAAAGGATGAGGCTGTTCCATTGGGTATTTCCCCGGGCTACCGGTAAGCGACCAGCTCAGGCCAGAATTCAATCCTTTTATTGCTTCCAGGTACCGTTCGGCATGGATGAGGCGAAGCGATCTGATGAGTGACTGTACGACATAACTCTGCTTGACTCACAATCTCTATTCACGCTTTTAATTTCCTGTTTCGAGGAAGCTTTAGTTCGTGAGGTCACCTCACGATTTAAACATAGAAGGGGGTCTGGGGGTGGCTCGTGCAATTTACTTTGGCTCTTTTGAATAGGAACAAAGAGTACAAAAGCTGATTCTGCAATTAGAAGGCCTTCTTGAAGTGCATTCGGTGGGTTAAAGCATGCACTAGTAAATTGTGAGGATTTAGAAAAAGGAATACTGCTGCTTACTTTAAACCATCACTGGTGGGTATGGTTTGAAGTATACATGCCTTAATGTGCTTTGCACTAGGTGAGTTTACACCAGGTTCTTAAAAAAACTACCTCAGTAAGGAGTATTCTGCAAGACATTTTGTGTTGCAATTGCCGTGAAATCACCCAGAATGTAGCTCCTGGTACTGGCTAGCCATATTGTACGTATAATACTAGCTAGCTAGCTAGCTAGCTAGCTAGTACTAGTAGACCACCATGGTACAGGTACGGATCTCTCCTGGTATGGACTAGCTAGCTCAACACTTTTAAAAGCACAAAGTCTATTAACGCATTCAGACAAGCCGACTTGAGGACGACTAGCTAGCTTAGCATAGTACCGATAGCTAGCTAGTTGTGAAATTCCAGACACAAGCTCCAAGCAAAAAAAAACAACTTGACGCTGGGATAAAAGCTGTAAGCTGTAACCCAACAAAAGCTTCAGGGAGCTCCAGGGGCACAGATCTAGGCTGGGACAACAGCTTCAGGCTGGGACAAAGCTTCAGGCTGGGACCATAGCTGGGCAGGCTGGGACAACAGCACCACAGCTTCAGGCTGGGACAATAGCTACAGGCTGGGACGAAAGCTACAGGCTGGGACAAACTCAGGCTGGGACAACGCTTCAGGCTGGGACGAACGCTTCACGCTGCTTGGACCATAGCTCCAGGCTGGGACGAAAGCTTCACGCTGGGATCACAGCTTCAGGCTGGGACCACAGCTTCAGGTTTGGACAACAGCTTCAGGCTGGGACAACAGCTTCAGGCTGGGACAACAGCTTCGCGCTGCTGTGACCATAGCTCCAGGCTGGGGCCACAGCTCCATGCTGGGACGAAAGCTTCACACTGGGACCACAGCTTCAGGCTGGGGCAACAGCTACAGGCTGGGACGAAAGCTACGGGCTCGGAGCGTCTTTTCCCACTGCATTATTCAAAACACCATTGGTACGATTCCCATCCTGGTTGTCATGATCACGGAGCATGACAGGCGGTACTTCATTCCTTGGTGCTTTTTCATGCTGGGAATTTTGACGGTGCCAACGCTTTGGGAGATGGTGTTGGTGTTGGTGTTGATGCTTCGGGCAGACCTTCTTGTTCTTCTTGGATGCCATTATTGCTGGTCTCGGCTCGTAATAAATTCACTGGGAATGGTATTGGAATAGCTGGCTGGTATTGTGAACTGATTCGATTCTATTTTATGCTCCAGCTTGTCTACCACCAATGACAATGACAACCACAATGACAACACCAGCCTTCTATGGGCGGGAAACTTGAGCCAGCTGAAGCATTGCCAGTAAAGCACTACTTGTGATGGCCAGTAAAGCACTCGTGATGGCCAGCGGTGCGTGCAAAGATCCAGCGTCTGGCCTCGGGCCGAACCTTCCTACCCAAATCTCTACCGTAGTCGCGGCACATGTGCTCCAGTTTGGAAAGGTGCGCACCCTGCTACCGGTATCCTCGCAAGATTCTGTGGGAGTCACATAGCTCCATTGGCGAGTTCATGATAAGCCTTGTCGGTTATGATCGTTGGCTTGTTGCTAATGGCTGTGGTAGCCCACAAGCATGGTTGGAGTCTATGCTTTGCTAACGCGCAACGCTAATCCCAGAACATGTGGTCAAGCGTGTAACGCCCAGGATGAATGACCTCATGAATGAGGCCATCGCAGAGCTACCGTTTTGCCCGTGTGGAACAGCTTCTAAAGTCCCCGCACTAAGCTAAGGCTTTGCCCGAAACAGCGGGAGACCATCAAAGGTGCAGTTGTTGTTGCCTCGTTTCATGCTACACCAACAACTATCTTGGGAAGAAGAGTTGAACCACGATGATGCGCTCGTCTGTGAACCGTCAGAACCGCATCGTTAAAGCGGCGAACAAAGACGATGAAACGAAGAACGATGATACCACCAAGTTCGCGATTATATCAGCCAAAGATTTCAAGCCAGGCAACGAGGGAGAAGTGTTGGAATCTGTGCACGCCTTGTTGTACTCTTCTGTTGGAATCTTGACCCACAACATCAATACGGCAGCTGACAGGACGTCGTCGTGGCTCTCCTGTCAGAATCCACGCATGTCTGATATCATGGAAGAGAAAATGTGTGACGATGTCAGTCTTTTAGGGAGAAACGGTGGAGACCTGGATGGAGTAGTGGAATCCATGCAGAAAGCTCTGGAAATCATGCAAAGGTATCAGGCCAAGGCTCACAAGGCGGCGAAAGATTTTCTCGAAGAACAACATGCCAAGAGCATGTCCAAACAACCCATCCCCTCCAACCTTGGGGAACGAGTGGCCCAGGCGGACAAAGAAGGTGGGATGTGGAGTCTCAGAGACGTCAAAGATATGTCAACTGCAGAGTTCTTTCTTGGAACCTTAATGCCCAACCAATCCACTGATGAATACCCTGATGGCAGCGATCGCCTCTTTCCCAATTCGCCCCTGGGTCCGACTACGGATGCTTTTCTCGGATCACTTTCATCGTTCCTGAGAGGCACACCGTCTTCCAATGGAAAGAACAAAAAACGGTTGATGGATTCCAAACTGGAGTACCTGAGGAATGTCGAGTCTGTATCCCAGGCGTGTCATACGCAAATCGAGGAGTTGGACACAATCCTGAACAACCCAAGTATTGCTGCATTGTACGAAATTCACGAAAACAACACCATGAATAGCGTGCTGACGAAAGATGTGGAAGATGAAGCTGCTCAACATCCACAGTTGAATGAGACCGCAAAGTCCTACATTCGGGAAGCTCGAGACAAGCTAGCCAAATATGCGGCCATAGCTGAAAAGATTCTCAAGGATGAGGTGAAGTGCATGGTGACGGCATATGCCTGTATCCCGGAGAAATGTGGCGAAAAAGAAGCCACAGCAGCAGCCCCCGAAGAAACGGAAAATGACGGTCTCTTTTTCGAAAGCCTCCGACAGCATTTCGACAGTGATGCGTACAACATTGACTTCAAGAGTTACCTAGCCACAGAAAACAGCGGGGTGATGCAAATGATGCTTTTGAACACATTGCATTCTTCCCTCTTTCTCCGAAACGTTGGCGACAAGTGCCAGAAGCGCATCCGACTGCATGTCGGCAAAGAAGTCAGTGTGTCAATTTGCAAATTGGTCATGACGAGCCTCATGAGTGGCAAGAAAGATCACCGCATCACCGAGTGGGGTTCTCTCTTGTGCGCCCGCCATGTACGAGCATTGCATGCCTACGCTTATGAATTTTGTCGATCCACCGATGGGACTCGAGATCTGTTGTCCAAAGTGGAAGTGTCCACCCTGGACGCAGCGCCGATGGACTCGAATTGGGAAAGACTCTTTTGTGCTTTGGATGTGCTGAAACTGGAGCGGCTCGACGACTATGACAGTTCCAAGCTGCACTCATTGTTCCCAGCCAGTGACGCTGCCAAAATATTGCGTCTTCGTACAGAGTTTGAGGATGATGAAATAGACGCTGTCTTGCAACCACAAAAGCTGGGTGCCACAAAAAAGTAATGATTGGGAAAACTTACGGTAAAGGATTGGCGGTTTCTTCCAGCAAGCAAGCCCTGAGATCACGACTTTGTGATGCTTATCACAGGCGAGGAAACGCCTGAAAAAGGAATATTGGCTACATATAACGATAACATTAAAAAGACACAATTGCATGTTAGTGGCTACGCACGTTACCAAGACCAGAGTGTGAGAGGAGAGTCGGCGGTAGGAGGATAACGTTACTAGAGCAGCAGACTTGGCTACCGTATGGTAAGTTATTCCTTCTATGATGGGACCTGGGGTAAGCGCCTCCGCCCTTTGCCTTTTAAAAATACGCGAGCTAACTTGCTGTTCGAGGGCGGGAATGGACGCCAGAGGACCGCAATCTGAGCAGCCTGGAAAGCAAACCCACTGAAGGAGGAAGGGAAGAACAAGGGCTGTCAGAGATATAATCGGAAAGGGGGCAAGGGACAGACTATTGGTTGGGATCAATAGCGCCACGATCGTCCTTTAGAATGCCGTTACTGTACTGGTTGCGCATTTTGATGCGGCCCCCTGAAAACCGATGATGGTGTGTCTTCCACTCTCTGTGCTTCCACGCAGCAGTACTTTTTACCTCGGCAGTCTTGCTGCCAGAGCCCTCAACCCCTTTAAGGCAGTCCAGCGCAGGATGTAAGCCAGTGCTGAGCTGGTATAATAATGACGTATGTTTGATGGATTCTTTCGCATATGTTATGGAATTTGGAATTTTGGATTCACGTAATTTCTTTTGTTAGACCAGTTCGAGGTTCGCACCGCCAAATTTCATCTTCGCGCTAATATCGCGCACCTCGCATCATAAGTCTTTTTCCGTTTCGCGCACGTCGACCCAACCAATTCTTCTGCTGCGGCAAAATCCTTGATCATTGGTTCCACCCTCAATCCAGCGAATTCAGCATCCATCACAAAAAGAAAAATTCGTTGGGCAAAATGCAGCGTCTTTTTGGACTAGCTCGTCGCAGTAGCACATCACCACGAACACCAAGATGGCAGCCCAATGCTGCTCATGAAACAGCCAGGCTTGCATCTAGCGAAGGTGACTGGAACCTTGCTGGATCTGCAGCCAGTACAAGAATAAGCAGGACACGATCCGGCGGCAATGGTGGCATGATTGGTACTCAGCTTTTTGGAGATGACGATAGGCGTGCGGAAGAAGAGACCAAGGACGACGATGCTGAGGATGAGCAAGAATCCGAAAAAGAAGACGAGACCGTCGAAAACTTGGAAGTGAATACAAAGAAGTCCGGTCGCATCATTTTGGAAATGTCGCAGCTTCAGTCGGTGCTGGAAGAGTTTGCGCTTTACCCCATTTGCGATGATTCCACACCGTTGACTACGAAAATTCACAACTGCGGCATTGCTAGTCAAGTCAAGCTCGTTTGCCCTGAGTGTGATTTCGTCTTCAACAGCGACCCGCCGTCAGGCACCAGCATTCATGACAATGTGAATGACAAATATGAGAGAACCACTGACTACGGCGTCAACATCATGATTATTCTTGGCATGATTGGCAATGGCGATGGAGCCACTGAAACTGGACGTCTTCTAGGTCTGATGGGATTGCCGAACGATACCACAATGTCGGGCACCTTTGCGAAAGTTGATCTTCGGATTTCCCCCTTTCTGCGGGAGCTTATGGACGAGGTGATTCAAGAGAATCTAGAGGAAGAAGTCCGTCTTACAATGGAGAAACAGGAAAACCACGATCCCTATGATTTGGTCCGATGGAAATTGTCACTGCCCGAGGAGGGCGGTGCTGATTATCCAGAGGACGAATGGCCGCAACTGGAAGCAACCAATGATTTTGCCTGGAATCAGAAGGGCTCCGGTCATTCCTATAACTCGAATTCCGGTCACGGTGGCTACATCAGCGCTCAAACGAGAAAAATCATTGCTCATTTGATCAAAGACAAACTTTGTCACACCTGCGACAATTGGGCCAAGCTCCATCCTGACGAGGCCTGCCCCACCGATCATTTCTGTACCAAGAATCATGTTGGTTCGTCGGGATCGATGGAGCCGGCTGCGGCTTTGGAGCTCTTGGTGGATTTGTTTGACAACAAGCACGTCAAATTGAAGACCATTTGCTGTGATGACGACAGTTCCATTCGTGCCGACTGCCAGTGGAGCAACCAGGATTACCGCATCAACAACGATACCCAAGATCTTCCTTTGGTTCGTATTACTCGTGGCATCAACCGTGGACAATTGCAGGAACGGCCCAACAAAGGAAAATTGCCCGGCCGTGTCAATCCGGAGCCAACCTATGTTGTGGACCCAAATCACCGTCGCAAAACATACACAAAGAATCTCATTCAATTGGATACGGCCAAGGTGGCCGATCGGAGTGGAATGAGCCGCCACGACACCCAGCGACTTGGCAGGAGCTTTGCAAAGATGGCAAAGTCGCTACACAAGTTGCCGGAGAATCAATGGGTCAATGCTGGAAAGGCCGTTATCGAGCATCATTTTGATAATCACCAGTTCTGCCGGGAGTGGTGCCCCCGACGCCTCATGACGCCACAGCAATTGGAGGCAACAAAGAAGCTCTATCGCTCCAAGACCGATGAACCGGAGTTGTATTGCAAATTGACGGCCATTACCGCTCCATTTATTGAGCTGGAACGACTACGGGAGATGGCCCATTCTATGGATACGAATGCCAACGAATCGTTCAACAATGTCGTCTGTTGGTTTGCACCAAAGAATAAGGTCTTTGCGGGCTCGTGCTCTCTCACCAATCGCATTGCCTTTGCCGCTTGTGTCACGTCTATTGGTTTTGTTGCTTTCTTCGAGCGCCTTTTTATGAAACTGGGAATTGACATGACTGACGATGTTCTACATTTCCTAGAGTCCAAGCAGCAAAACAGGGACCGTCGTCTTGCCAAGCAGACAATGAGAGATGCCAAGCTTTTACGCAACAAACGGAAGTATGAAATTCAGAAGGAGTCGCACAAGAACGCCAAGATTGAAGTGGCTAAGAAATCCGGTTGTTACAAGCCGGGAATGAATATGGATTTGGTTACGGTGGCCCAGCTCAGGGAAGGTGCCGTTCCTGCCGCTGCTCTTCCCACAAACGACAACACTCAAGCCAATGGCAATGACAACGGTGATGGCAAGCCCAAAGCTAAGAAACGGAGGATCAACTACGGCAAGATGTGGTGTCCCTACTGCGGAAAGAAAGGGCATGTTTCCAAGGCTAGCAAGAAGTGCATTGCTGACTTGGCATCCCCTCAAAAGTACAACAAAGCTGATGGCTCTGAATTGGTTGTTGTCACTCCTGGAGGAGTTTCAGCAAGCACCCCCATTGCTGCTGCTACACCACCACCTTCTAGTGCTACAAATAGTGATGCGGTGGAGGTTGGATTGTGGGACCAGTTGCCCTTGGAAAGTGCCAATTCAGATGAGGAGGAAGTCACTAACAACGCTATCTAGGAATGTAATCATCAAATAGTGTCAAACAATGGGATTTGCTCATCTATTAGCTAGCTAGCTAGATGTTGATCTGAGGGAAAGAAGACGTCTTCTTGAAGACGTCCTCTGAAGACGTCCACCGTACTAGCTTGTGCTTGTTACGGTTGCGGTGACAAGCTCGTCAAGTACGAAGGACCATTGATTCGACCTTATGTTCCGAAGTCTTCTTGAAATTGGGATTTATATGGATCTAGCCGTTGCTTTTTTGAGGGTCGGGCATATGTTCAAAATTTGACCTCACAATTTTGGCTGCACAGAGACCGGCTAGAGGCTGGTCGGCGATACGTACAGTAATGCACTACGCTAAAAGCTAGTGTAAAGATCTTTCGAGTGTTTTGAGTTTGAGAGAATGAAAGTTATGAGAGAGATTAGAAAGCTATGAAAACTAATCAACGAGAGAGATCATCATCAAGGGATCGTAGATCTGGCTTCCCGCGGGAGACTATGAAGTGTGATAGTGTAGGTTGCGGTAGTAATCCTACGTCTCTCCACGATCCTAAAACGGAACGCGTGGAAGGTTTGTCTAGCCTG